TAACTCTGACATGTTCCATGGAAGCTTAAAGCTTTTTGCTTTTGTGTTGCTATTTGAGCATAGAATCATAAAGTAACTAATCAAAAACATTTATAAGAAACTCAAGCGTCTGAGGTTAGTGGGTCTTGCATGATTATTTATAGATCCATGAAACTAACGACTTGGTGCAGCAGATCAGGTCAAACAAGGTGAGAAAAAAGTTATTGAAAAAAAAAAGTAAAAGTGTCTCTTCCTCATTCTTTCCTCGCAAGTACCAACGTCAACTAAGAGAAAAGAAAGAAAGAAAAGCTGAAACTTTTGATAGTTTTCAAACCATAGACTCTTCAGCGAGTAAAACAAAGCATACCAAGTAGAGACAATAGACTCTTCGGTGAGTAAGATCCAAAGACCATAGACTATCAGAGTCTTCAGCGAGTAAAGATCCAAAGACCGTAGACCCTAGATCTATCAGATGCACAAAAGGGTTTGTCAATCTCAAACTTGGAGGCTCGAAGCATCAAATTGCAACCAGCTTCTTCAAAATGAAGAAAGATCATAGTGTTACTTACAGTTCGAATTTCGCCATTGAAACCTCAGAATCAGCAAATGGAAACAATTGCTCGATCGAATAAGGAAACTTGCATGGATTTCGGTTTGAGGATCCTTTTAATCGGTAGACTACCGCATTGGATCTTTAAGCTTCGAAATATGACAAGCTTCAGGTTTGTTTTCCAGTAAAGGAACCAGAATCAAGATTTGACAGAACTTACATGTAACCAACAACAAAAAATTCAGCTCCAATTTTATATAATACAACAGAAACACAGGGCAAGTATTAAGCAATGTCTGTTTCTTGAAACACTAAAGACTCAATCTTGTTTAATTGAGATGTTATGAATCTTCCTTTGTAAATAAACCACCATGAATCGTAGCTTCATGTAGAAAAACTCATGTTTAGGTTACTCTGTTTTCATTCTTTCGTTCTAAACTCATGTTTAAGTTACTCTGTTTTCATTCTTTCGTTCCAAATCCACGTAATAACACAGAAACAGGGCAAGTATTAAGCAATATTGTTCATGTAATATTGTCCTAAGAAACCGCTCTGTTTCTTAGGACACTAACGACTCTGTTCCCATGTCGTCTTCTGCGATAACTCGCATACTGAATCATTTCTTACTGGTTTGATTGATATGTTATGATTCATGACATCATGTAGAAAAACTTATGTTTCCCTAAAATGAATCATAACATCATGTGAATTCCAATTTGTTTCTATTTTTTTCTTGTTTGATTTTACCAAAAAGATAAATTGTTCTACATATTGAATTACAGATTAAGCAGCTCCTCAACGAGGAGATAACTCAGAAACTGTGTCATTATTCAATGACATTGTTAACCCTTCGGTCGAAGAAGAAACATTCGAAGGTATCACATTCTCTAACACAAATGCAGGCCTTGAAGGTGTCGGGAGAGTAAACGAATAGCTACTTAGCATGAGAGCAACCGTAGCCATTGTTGGTCTAGTGGCTGCACTCTCTTGAACACACAAGAGGCCGATGTGTATGCATCTCAAGATCTCGTTTCTTGATCCCCTGGTTAAACTCGGATCGATCACGCTTAGTATACTGTTTTCTCCCCAGCTTCTCCATACCTGAGAAAACAAATACAGAATCAACAAGATGAACAATTGCAATAAGCCCGAAATACCGGATTTGTTTAGTGTACTTACCCAAGTAAGAAGATCTTCTGCATCTTCATCATGATTAGACCCACCATTGTTGTTTCTTTTACCAGTAATGATCTCAATGACTAACACACCAAAGCTAAACACGTCTGTTTTCACAGAGAATTTTCCGTGCATTGCGTATTCTGGAGCCATATATCCGCTACAAGATGAAATGAAATAACCTTTTATACTGCTGTGCTCTTGATTTTTAAAAAGTTAGTAAAATGAATTTACTTACTAAGTTCCTGCAATTTTGTTTGTGAATCGATGTGTAGTTGTTTGGCTTGTGTCAAAGAGTTTAGCTAATCCAAAATCTGCAATTTTCGGATTCATTTCTTGGTCCAAAAGAATGTTGCTAGCTTTAAGATCACGGTGAATAATCCGGTACCGAGAGTCTTCATGAAGATAAAGTAGTCCTTTAGCAACTCCTCTGATCATGTTGTATCGCACTGTCCAATCCAATTTTTGGCGCTTCTCAAGATCTGTGACGGCGCAAAGATCAACACATAGGGGAAGAGAATGGTAGTAGGATCATAAGGAGCAAAATGCGGAAAAAAGATTACCGAAGATAAAATGGTCAAGACTAGCGTTCTTGATGAACTCATAGACAAGGAGTCTCTCTTGACCTTGTATGCAGAAACCTAAAAGCCTAACCAAGTTCCTATGTTGAAGCTTTGCAAGTAGTAAGATTTCGTTCTTGAATTCGATGTCTCCTTGTCCAGAATTACCCGATAATCTTTTCACTGCGATTTCTTGCCCATGAGAGAACACACCCTGAGAGACRTACATAATCCYAWGKTWAYAAATCTCTCAAATAWACAAACCAAWGTTWYCGGTCAGAAGTTTGGTCGAAGAAACTTACCTTATAAACTGAACCAAACCCACCACGTCCGAGTTCGTTTTCGGGAGAAAAGTTATCTGTTGCTGCCTTTAGAGTTTCAAAGTCAACTAGCAGCGAATCTGTCTGAATCTCGGAATTTGATCCCGTCCCAAGAACTGAATATGCAGACAGTTGTATCAAGATTATAGCTTATCCTTTTTAACAAGATTAAGGAGAACTTGGTGTTACCAGAAATCTTCTTCTTCCACTTGAAGACCAAGCATAGACAGATTGCAAATAACGCAACAAGAACTATAGGAATGACTATCGCGATTACGACTTTAGATCCACCGTTACCCTTTCCTGCGATTACACATTCACTGTCTTAATCTTAGAGAGAAAAACATTTGGAGCAGAACACACAAGAGACTCATTCAAGCATTTCTACGTACCTGTTTTCTCCATTCTTGCAGCTGATGTTGGTGAATCAACAGGCTGAATTGCAGGTGGATCAGGCTCTAGGTCGGCTTCAAGATCATAGAATTGCCCCATCTCAAACCGAAAGTTACAACTAGGACAAAACCACCTAAGACCTTCCCTATCATTACAACAAGTTGGGATTTGCTCAAACCCATAAACTAGACAGTCATTACAATCCTTTTCAGACAAATCTGGTGTACAGTGCGCACTTGCGTAGTATGTCGGGAACGCCTTCCCTTGAGCATATTTCCTATTCGGCCCACCAGCCGCCGCAATCCCTCTTTGCCTATCCAATAGTATTCTCTGCACGCGCTCATAGTCACGTCTGTTTGTTGATATCTTTTCACCCCCAATAAAAGCATGAGTCGGGCTCGTCTCTTTTCTTCCATAGATTGTGCTGTTCGAGTAACGAAGCATACAGTGTGTGTACCACACAATAGCTTGTTTTGCCCGTGGACACTGCTCGGTGAGGTTTCTTGCAGCTGTCTGAATACAGCTGAGACAATTAGCTCTTGTGACTTCTCTTCTACACAGACCAATTGCATAAGCGCTTTCTCCAGATGAGCCTCCAGAAGAGAGGTTGTAGAAGCCAAAAGGTTTTGGTGTTAGTGAGGAGAGAGAGGAGACAAGGCGGTTGAGGTTTCCGGCAAAAGTGCTGTTGGCCGTGTAGTTGCCTTGACCTACACAGTTGAAAACTGGAGGAAACTCATAGGTATCTACCTGAGCTAAAGCATGAAATGGAAGAAACGTTAGGACACAAGCAAAGAAAAAGAAGATAACTGAGCCATGTTCCATTGAAGCTTAAAGCTTTTTGCTTTTTGCTTTTGAGTTACTAATTGTTGATTCTACTTGAGTTAGAATCATAAAAAAAAAAAAAAAGTGTGTTTATTTGAACCATGTAAAAGAACACAACTGAGCAAAAACATTTATAAGAAACCCAAGCGTCTGAGGTCAAACACGGTGTGAAAAAAGTAAAAGTGTTTCTTCCTCACTTATTTCCTCGCAAGTACCAATGTCAGCTAAGAGAAAAGAAAAGAAAAAAAAACTGAAACTTTTGATAGTTTTCAAACCATAGAATCTTCAGCGAGTAAAACAAAGCATATCAAATAGAGACAATAGACTCTTCAGTGAGTA